CACTATGTTAAAGTGTAGATATAAACTCCACAGGATCACTTCTCTTGCTGAATTGCATTATTATCTGCTGCAGTGGGAGAGACTGCACATATGAACGTTTTCCCAATGCAGAACATTCTTCCATGAACATAGAAAATGAGCACGCTGCCAAGAACTCAGCACAGTTCTTCTTTTCCCCTCTGTGGAAGGATGCACTGTGATTTCCTTGGAAACACCATGTCACAGCGCTTCTCAATTTTTAATTCCTGTAGCGAAGGCAACCTTCTTTTACTGAACGATGCTCTGGCAAAGCATGAGACATTCTTCATCCGCTGCGGCATCTTCCTCATCCTTGAGAAGTTGAAGATCATCACCTACAGGAATCTCTTCAAGAAAGTGTAAGTATTTGCTGCGTTTGAAAGGGGACGGTGTAAATAATTGGTGCGACCTCAATAGAAGGAAAAAGCAATCCTCGCTGAACTGATGAGTTGCCTCTCATTCTCTTCCTGTAAGGAATGTTGCAAACTCGGGGGGGGGGTTTTGGGGGGGATGCAGATTTCTAATGGTTCGCTAAATGAGTCACCTTTTCTTAGAAAGGAATCTGAGTTTTAAGGTTTAGGCCATGTCGTCCCCCAGCTGGAAGTCCCTGCTGATTATTTTCCTAGCCATGTGTCTCTCTTCAAACGCACATGCATGAGGTGCCTGGGAAGCGACTATTCAAAGTGAAGAGCTTTGATTTGTTCTTTTCCCAACCTGATACTAGTATGGCATGCCAAGTTCAGTCTAATGACCCGGGAAGAAAGGTTCTCTTCCCTCCTCACCTTCCCCCTGCATTACCTGAGAAGATGCTGGCTTGCTTTCTGAGCTCCCCTTCCGATCTTGCTGGCAAAGGAAAGCGCATCAAAGGCGCCACATACCTGATGCAGGATCCTGGCCGGTAGGTCTGTCTGCTGATAGTCATGCCAAATTCTGGAACCATCTCTGATACCATACTCAAGACCTTGATTTAGGAGAGGTTAAGCAGCAGAGTGAATTGTCTAGACATACGTTAACTTCCTTTGGCTCTCCAAGCCTCAGTAGGGTTCTGCTCCTTAATTTTTTTCTTAATATCAAGTGCCTCACTAGCTAAACTTATGCTGCCAGTATGAACCTCGTTTTTGTGTTCCAGTTTAAAAATAAGCAGGGGGACAGCGGCTCGCATCCACCGAAGGATTTCCGTGCATAGTGGGGAGACAGTGATCTTTACCGGTTCTCTTTCCTTCTGCAAGCTCTGACTCCCCCTCATGCTATTCCTAGGTGTTTCCTGTCCCCTAGGAGCAGTATTTGGGGATGTAGCAAAAGGAGGAGACGAGGAAGTCCCACTCAATCAGTGGAAATTGCTTCCATCAGTGGAAATCTCCAGTGGATCCAAGCCAGATTGAACAAGAGATTTCAGAACTTTTCCATGATTATTATAACAGGTCTTCTCTAGCTCTGATTCTGAGCTGAGGAGACAAAGCTGGATCAGCCTGGCTTTTGGCCAGAGATGCTTCCTTGGGAAGTAAAACTGTTTTAGAGAAGATAGGCATATTTAATTTAAGATGGATTTGACCTACTGTGTCTTATAGGAACTGAGCTGTGTATCCTTTTTCTTCTTTTAGGTATTTGTTACTCAAAACTCACCAGCTTTCTCTAGATGCCTTTCTGGTTGCTCTGAAATACATGAAAGTCAATGATGTTGATATTGATGAAGTCCAGTGCATTCTAGCTAACCTAATATACATGGTATGCATTGAAGTTCTGTTACTATGAGATAGCTAACTGCAGTCTGTAACAATATATCTTTTGGGTGAGTGTAGTTGACATCTCAATATAAGATTTCCATTACTGGATATTAATACTCTGTTTCTGTATTCTGTAACCCATAGCAACTGTTTCAAGACAACGAATGTAATATTTAGTGAAAATGGACTGTGAAACAGTATGCTGCAATCCTCTGAGGACTTGGTTGGCTGCTGTGGATTCAACTATTTGCTCCTGTAACAGCCCACAAAGACACTTTCTCTTAGCCTCTCTTTTCTGGCCTATAAAGTGGGAACAATAGTACTAAAGACAGAAAAGAGTTACAATGTTGTTATATTCTTAACTCTTCCTGACACCCTACTCAGAGAAGGGCAATTGAGTAAAGCTGTCATAGTTCTGATAAGAGCTGTCCTTGAAAAAGAGCAGTTTCTGTCAGAGCTCTCGCAGCCCCACCTACCTCACTGGGTGTCTGTTGTGGGGAGGCGAAGGGAAAGGAGTTTGTAAGCCACCCTGAGACTCCTTTGGGTAGTGAAGGGCGGGGTATAAATCCAATCTCTTCTTCTCCTTCTTCTTCTGTCTGCTCTTTGGACCCAGATAGTGCAAGGTTGTTTAATCTTCCAAGCTGGGCAAGAATCAACACAGACACATGCACAATTCCATTTTAAGTGTCAACCAGTGCAGGAGGTATCCACAGCATGGTAGAAAACTGCACACTCCACCTTAACCCTATGTTGGGTTTTGTCTGCTCAATCCTCAAACAACCAACCCCACACTAGAGAGATCAGGCATTTCTATGCACACTGGCAAGCACCACACATGATTTTATACATCTGAATCTAGATGACTGCTGTAAGTGACTCTAGATGTATAATACTAATGTGCATTTATTTTCTCTCTGTGTCAGGGGCACATTAAAGGTTATATATCGCACCAGCATCAGAAGCTTGTTGTCAGCAAGCAAAACCCATTTCCTCCGCTCTCCACTGTCTGTTGAGTCTACTGTGATCCAGATGGAGAACAACTTTGCAGACTTGGTTTACCTTTGCTTGCAGTGGCTCTTTTTGAAGGTTGGAGCAGGCTGGGACGTTAGCCTCAATCTGTCGGAATGTGCCGTACAAATGCACAGCAGCTCCTTACAGAACAGTGTGAACTTCGTAAATGAATTTAAAGTTATACCTTCTGATTCTCTTTTGTTAAATATCACAGAGATTAGTTATTTGGTGTTATTTGCAATTGTTGTATATTTATACTGCCACACACAAATACATCATCTTGGGAGTATTTAGATACTCAAAACTTTTATGCATGGGACAGAAAATAGAAAATTTTCAGGAAACTGAAAATAAAATTCCTTGTGTTTGCGAGTTTTACGTAAGTTCACTTTTCCGTGTAGAACCTAAGAAAGAATCTGGGGTGTCTGTTCAGCATCCGTTGAAATCACTGGTTGCAATACTTTCATTTTACAAAATACCAGCAGTCTTGAATTTGAACAGATTGTTACCATTGGATCCATTGAGCAGTTGAACTTCTCTGGTCTTCCCCTGAGACACAAACTAGGGTCACAAGAATAAACATGGTATTTCATTTCCATTAATTGCTCTTGGGTTCCCCTCTTCCATTGGAAAGTATATGGTTTAGCACCCAGTGCCACGTGCCTGTGATTAGTCTAACTCAAGGGTGGCCAAACTGTGGCTCGAACTAACTGTGGCCAAACTGTGTCACAAACTATGTGCTCTTTCACACATATTGTGCGGCTCCCAGCAGGGCGTCTGGGGAAGCTAAATATCATTAGCAAACCAATATCATTGGACAAATAAATTATCACTATCAATATCTGCTTTTACCGCTTTTGTTATAATTTTTGGTAGTCCCATTTAATGTTAATAAAAAGCAAATTGGCATATTTCCCAGTAAAAACATGTAATATCTGTTCATGCCTTGCGGTTCTCAGACACCTGACCTTTATTCTTTGTGGCTCTTACGTTAAGCAAGTTTGGCCACCCCTGGTCTAACTAATACACTTGTATTGATGCCCACTTTTAGACATCGCAAAGGAGGCAAGTAGAGGAGGCCCATCTTGAAGTCCCGTAAGATGGCCACAGCCTCCTTGCTTCTTATACCCATGTAAACGCAGTCACAAATTGAGGGGCACTCAGCCATTACAGGAATTTAGCCATGTACTACTGTATACCAGTGGCGTACCTAGCATATATGACACCCAGAGCAGATTAGTTTTTAAAACCCCACACCCGGTGGTCCTCTCTCCTTTTCTGTTCTCCTGCTTCACTCCCGGATTGTCGCCTTCTGGTGGAAACCCCACCCACTTGGTCTCCATCCATCACTTCTGCCAGCTCAGCGGTGCCCTGTGGCTCCTCACAGCTCCCAGCCACTGAGTTACTGCTGAAGATCCCCAAGATGGACATGCTGTCTCCTGGCTTACCCGGGGCAACTCAACAGTGGCAACTCCAGCCTCCGACCATTCCATGCCCAGTAGCAATTAGCCTAATAAACCACATTCTTTCAAGCTGGGGTTGGGGGTGGGACACTGAAGTGAATATTACTGTTTTTAAATTCTCTACAGACAATGTACTCCCTTATTGCCTGCATCTGGGGTGGACTGCTCCCGCCACCCTACTCTTGGTATGCCACTGCTGCATTATGAAGCCATGTCACTGGAAGAGAGGGGCATTTCAATTGTTTGCTAAAATGAGACTAGCGCTCTGTGGCCCTTTTCAAACTGCCTTTGTATTCTGGTTTAGTAACTGGTTGCTAATGGATTTTTTCTGCAATTTCAAACAGACCCGCTTTAGTAACCGGCTGCCAGTTGAATTTATTTACCTGTTCATACAAACCCGCTTGCATCAGGTTAGCAAAGTGTGGTTGAGCCGCTTTTGAGGAAAACTGCTTTCTTCTGTTTTCTACCCCTTTGTTGTGCTTCTGAATTGCTGTGGTGTGCTGTTTAAAGTGTCCATAGTGCTTCCTACAATGCCACTTTTTTCCTGCCTTTTTGCCACTAAAATTGATATGGCACTTCAGTGTTACAGCGGCACCACTGTATATTGGTTTAGCGCTATAGCACTCAACTTAGAATGTTGCAAAAAATGTCCAAGAAAGTTCACATGGCGAAAAGGCACTGGGCGGGGGAGCAGCACTGTTTGAAATAACCACAGCACTTCAGAGATGATTCATTAACAGAAGGAAATTCACTGTATGAAACCCCCATCCCTGTATCACTTTACTCAAAATTGGGCCAACAACGAATAACATCTGGTTTAGAACAGCATTTGTGAAAAGGGTCTGTGTATATAAAAGCCCACTTCATGCAGAAAAGCCAATGATGAGTTCTGTTAACCGAGAACAGAGACAAAGACCAAACATCCCATATTTTAATTGATAAGCATACACATTTTCAGCAGCAAGCTGTATAAATACTGAATCTTGCCCATCTATGTACTCCTTTCCTGCTGCATTTGATTACTCCATTATCTGTTTGAACCACATCATATATCTTGAAATCTTGGTGAATACAAATGTTTCCCATTTACTTGCTTCTGTTGCCTGTGACTCTAAAATGCCCGTCAGAAACCAAGTGCCTTTGTAGTTAACAGCACTGAAACTCCCTCCAGCCAGTTGTCCTCTTGTCGTCACAGGACTGTATCCACAGAATTCCCTGGTTATCAGACTTCTGTTGTGTGTCCCTGTACATTCATTTTCATGGAGAAACAGAACTGGAAGTTCAGCTAGTGAATCAGTCACATAGTCTCCCTCCATTTTCCACCCACTGAGAGTGGCCACCTGTTCAGAAATCAATACGTGCTCTGCAAAGTCTTTCTCTGGAAGACATATAGGTAACTGGGAGCTGTTGCAGGTACTATGAGTTTCAAGTTGTAGCAATGCCAGGTTGTTCTTGCCAGTGTTGTTCTCATAGCGGGGGTGGATGTTTACCTGTTTCACATACGTTAATTGTCTGGCTTCTTGCCGTCTGTCGTTTCCTGTGGAGATCATGGTATGTGTTTACTGAGCATGGTGATCATGTACAAACAATTGTCAGTCCCATCTGCATTATAGAGCAGACAGGAGAGGGTGAAATTTTTCATTGAGCCTCAAACACCTGCTAGTTACTGTAAATAAAATTAAAGCATATTGCTTATTCCCACACCCATCTGGAGACCTTTTTTTGTTGTTGGGAAGATGAAGTCATTGTTTCAGTACTTGCCACTGTCTCCTACCCTTCAGGATCTGTTTTTGGTAGGACAGAAGGAAGGAATACTAAAGGAAAGGGCTTATGGATTGGTGGAATGTGGGGAACAGGCGTTATTACACAAAGAGGTGGAGCCAACCTTCCTCCAGGTAGCCTTTCTCCAATGGAAGAACCATTAATAATTAATTATCATATGGCTTTATGTGTAGTATAACCAGGAGATCCTAACATTGTCTGGCAGCCAGAAGTTGTAGCTCTTTTAGTGTTATGCACTACTAGGTGGCGAGCTAGACTTGTTTCACCACTACACCGAGGAAGACTCCTTAGCTTGGCAGAAGGTTTCAAGCTTGAGTCAAAAGGAAAGGAGAGATATAGTTTAAATAAATACATTGCTCAGCAGAGTAGTAGACTTGTCACTAATGAGTCCCTACACTAGGCTTTGTAATTTGTGAAATGGCCCTACAAGCCAAGCTATCAAGGATTATTTCACACATGATGCATTTCCTATACACACAGAAGTTATGTTTTTATGTAGGAAGTAACAAGTAATCTACCCTGACCTGAATGGCCCAGGCTAGCCTGAACTCATCAGATCTCAGAAACTAAGTAGAGTTGGCCCTGCTTAGCAATTGGATGAGAGACTACCAAGGAAGTCCAGGGGTGCTACACAAAGGCAGACAATGGCAAACTACCTCTGAAAATTTCTTGCTTTGAAAACCCTATGGGGTCACCATAATTTAGCTGCAACTTGACAGCACTTCCCACCAATAACAAGAACATAAGAGCCCTGCTGGATCAGACCAATGGTCCGTCTAGTCCAGCTTCCTGTCTAACAGAGTGGCCAACCAGTTCCCCTGGAGGGCCAGCAACAGGGCATAGAGGCTGAGACCTTCCCCTAGTGTTGCCTCCTGACTCTGGGATTCAGAAGATTAGAGCCTCTGAATGTGGAGGTTCCCCTCAGTCACCATGGCTAGTAGCCATTGTTAGACTTATCCTCCATGAAACTATCTAATCCCCCTTTAAAGCTGTTTATTCCTGTGGCCATCACTACATCCTCCGGCAGTGAATTCCACATTTTAATCACTCTGTGTAAAGTAGTATTTCCTTTTGTCTGTCCTGAATCTACTGCTCATCAGTATCATTGGATCCCTCAAGTTCTAGTATTTTGGGAAACAGAGAAAAAAATTATCTTGTCACCTCTCTCCACCCATGCATAATTTTTTAAACCTCTTATCATGTCTCCTCTTAGTTGTTTCTTTTCTAAACTGGAAAGTCCCAGAGTCTTCAGCCTTTCCTCATAGGGAAGGTGATCCAACCCTCTAATCATCTTGGTCGCCCTCCTCTGTACTTTAGCCAGCTCTGCAATGTCCTTTTTGACATACAGTGACCAGAACTGTGCACAGTGTTCCAAATGAGGCCGCACCATAGATCTGTACAGGGGCCTTACAATATCGGCCATTTTATTCTCAATCCCTTTCCTAATAATCCCAAACATAGAGTTTGCCTTTTTCACCGCTGCAGCACACTGGGTTGACACTTGAGGTATCCCACTACAACCCCAAGATCTTTTCCCATCTCAGTCTCAGCAGGTTCAGACCCCATTAGCCTATACTTGGAAGTTGGGATTTTTTGTCCCAGTGTGCATCACTTTACACTTACCAACACTGACCTTCATTTGCCACATTGTTGCTCGCTTACCCAGTCCGTAGAGATCCTCTTGGAGCTCTTCACTGTCAGCCTTGGCTTGCACCATCCTGAATAATTTGGTGTCATCTGCATACTTGGCCACTACACTGCTCACCCCTAGTTCCAGATCACTGATGAATAAATTAAATAGTACCAGCCCCAATACTGACCTTTGTGGGACCCCACTGCTTACTTCCCTCCATTGTGAGAACTGTCCATTGATTCCTACTCTTAGTTTCCTATCATCTAACCAATTTTTAATCCATAAGAGAACCCATCCTCTTATCCCATGACTGAGTTTACTCAGGAGTCTTTGGTGTGGTACCTTGTCAAAAGCCTTTTAAAAGTCCAGATATATGTCTACTGGGTCACCATTGTCTACATGCTTGTTCACTTTCTCAAAGAACTCCAAACGTTTGGTGAGGCAGGACTTCCTTTTGCAGAAGCCATGCTGATTTTTCCTCAGTAAGCTTTGTCCCTCTATGTGCCTAACAATTCTATATTTGATTAAAGTTTCTACTGATTTGCTGGGGATAGACGTTAGGCTGACTGGCCTGTTATTTCCTGGTTCCCCTTTGCATCCCTTTTCAATAACTGTTGACACATTTGCTACTTTCCAGTCTTCTGGTACAGCAGCTGAATTTAGTGATAGGTTACACATATGGGTTAGTAATCCATGTCTGTATAATCTTGACAGCTAAATAAACATTACCTGAGCTGTGGTATGCACACAGGAAAGCTGGAACTTCACCACTGAGCAGAACCTAGCTCTGTTATCTACACAAAAAGTCCTGTGGATGTGGCTTGGCCTGTAGGGCTAACAAAGCTAGAAGCCTCTGTACAGTTCTTTCAGCTATAGAAGGACTAGGGAAGGCAGGACATCTGCTGTTTAACCTGAATCCTTCTAGGAACACAATATTATAGTGTAAGTGTCTAATGGTGTAAATGTGATGTTTTGAGCATCACCTGCACACTGGAAAGTGCCAGGCAGAGCTTCGCAGAAGAAAATGTGTTATCTGCACCAAGTGCCTGAAATGAAATGATTGAAGTGCATTTGGAATTGTTCCACTGTAGCTCCATCTTTAGTCCTTGATGTCTATACAGTAATAAGAATAGGCTAATTAGATCAAAGGATGCATCAATGCCATCTAGGGCATGGCTTCCATTTGAGTCAGGGGGAATTGGAGCAACCCAGTAGTTGTTTAGAATTCACTCTTACAGGTCAGCCCACAGAAGCACCTCAAAGTAGTCTACGAGGCAGACTAGGTGGGTCTAGTAATATTACCTGCTAAATCACCAGAAGGGGAACATACACCTTTTTGCTAGGTTTCCAGCATCTGTCCATCCTGGGTTTTTTTCTCTCACACAAAAATTTCATGTCTGAACTTTTAAAAATGCTGAACCTGAGGTAACTCGGCTACCTACCAATCACAGCACTAATGGGAGATAGCACTGCGCAGTCAGCTGTAGTCAGAACGAAGTTCGTTTTCAGTAGAACTCCTCCGCACAATCCTTCTCCCTCAGAGCTTAAGAACAGGACCTTAAAAGCAAAATGGACAACAATATATCTTGTACTAATTTGATAATGAGGTATCACACTCCCTGTTCCTGCTCAGAGGATAAGCTCATTGAATGTGCTTTTACAGAAGAATGACCCCATTACTTTGGGTATAAACTACAAGAAAAAGCATTTTGGGTATCCTTCAGATTTGATTAAAAATGTGTTGTTGTGAGGAAAGAAGACAGCTAGGAGTGACCAACTTTGCAAGGGAAATGGGGGAGTAAGAGGAGGAGGAAGGAGGAGGAGGAGGAGATTCGATTTATATCCCACCCTTCACTCAGAGTCTCAGAGTGGTTTACAAACTCCTTCCCCTCCCCACAACAGACACCCTGTGAGCAATGATCCCTCTAAGCTGTGGAGTCTTGTGAGCAAAAATTCTACTTTGTGAGCTACTGGCATTAAACTTGTGAGCAAGTGATTTGCCACGGCACACATTAGTTTGCTTTGGAGCCATCCTTCCTGAGCTAAGACAAAAATGTGTGAGTCGGAGGCTAGAAAACTGTGAGCTAGCATACACTAACTCAGCTTAGAGGGAACACTGCCTGTGAGGTAGGTGGGGCTGAGAGAGCTCTTCCAAGAACAGCTCTGACAGAACTATGGCTTGCCCAAGGTCATCCAGCAGCTGCAAGTGGAGGAGTGTGGAATCAAACCCGGTTCTCCCAGATTAGAGTCCGCGCACTTAACCACTACACCAAACTGGAGAGGTGGCTTCCTAATAGCAGACGAACAATTGTGGAATCTATGCAAAGCGCACAAGCTGACCCACTACAATTATACTCTTGTGGCCTTCTAGTCAGGTGACTCCTATTAGCCCAGAACATGGCGTGTGTAGATAAATTTTCTTGAAGGGTGACGCCATGGTTTTCCTGCAAAGGTTCTCATAACCCTCTTTATTGGAGCTCTAATCGGAACACATCCCTAAACCGCACCGCTGCCCTGAACTGATAAAGACGTTCACGGAGAGTACAGGAATCTCTCTGTTCCCTAAAACAAATAGGCTACAGGTACGCATAACAACTTCAGTGATTTTAGCTACCCAAGTTGTTAACCCTTAAGCACCTCTTCAACGGGGAAGGAGAACCAGAACTTCTACAATGGTGCATTGGTTAGACTGGCAGATTGGGACCCACTCTGCCACGAAAGCTTGCTGGGTGACCTGGTACCAATCATGTGCACAGGCTAACTTACCCGACCGGGCTGCTGTGAAGATGCAACAGAAGACAGAATTGTGTGAGCCAGTTTGGGTCCTCATTGCAGAGAAAAGCAGGGTATCAATGTCAATAAATAAGTTAGCTCTCTGATGCACTGGAGTTTTAGAAAGCAAACATATAGCTTGTTTGCCATTCCAGTGAGCAGTGACCATCACTCTGAACTGTTACAGCCAGTTCTTACTATGTCTCTGTTGTAGGTCCTATTTGTATCGGTGGGACTAGAATTACACCAATTCTTTTTCAGCCTGTCTCTTGCTAAATACCTGCCAAGGGAATCCTCTGCTGATGTTCTCAGCTGCAGTCAGCTTCACTTGCACGTTTTCTTTAAATCTGCCACATGCACACTTATCTGGCAATGAAAAACATATGTACATATTTCAGCTTCTAATGGCGGTTCCCAGAAATAACTGTTTGATTAGTTTTCATTATGATGAATGTGCCTTTGAAAATGTCAGAATTAAGGCAGATCCTTGTCTGATGAATGAGTGGTAGTGTTCAGAGAGGGCCATGGAGCTTAGTAAATCACACTTTCTCAGCTTAAGCTACCCCAAGAGGGCTGTTCTGACAATTAAAGGGGAGGGAGGGAAAACCACCCTGAACTTCTTGGGGTAAAAATTCCATAGCTTATATAGTGATGGTGGCTTTTGATTTTATTGCAATTATCTCACAGAGTTCAACAGTCTTGCAGCATCTTTGCAGTTAAGTACAGGAGACTCTTCCTATTTGCAGCTCATGATTTCACGAATGCACGGACCATGGCCCAACCCCATGATGCAACTAGCCCTGAGCATCTGACCCCTCTGTAAGTTGAGAGTAGGAAAGCCGGAATGAGTGCGCTGGCCCCACATCCTGCCTCTGCATGACCATTAGCTTCTCAGAACTGTGTCTATGCAGTGACAATGGGCACACTCTGGGTAAGTCCTCAGTGCTCATTTCACCCATCTTGCCAATGCTGCAGGCAGGCCAGGCACCACATGCGACATGCCCCAGCCTGGCCTCCTTCCATGAGAGGATGGGGCTCTTTCCAGGACCATATTTTGGCCTGCCAGTTTGCCCTTGGGGGCAGCTGACTCCCACTTCCTATATTTGTAGAGTTTGCCATTTGGTATGATCCCAGGCATGGCCCTGACTTGGATAGCCCAGGCTAGCCTAATCTCATCGGATCTCGGAAGCTAAGCAGGGCCGGCCCTGGCTAGTATTTGGATGGGAGACCTCCAAGGAATACCAGGGTCATGATGCGGGGGCAAGCGATTGCAAGCCACCTCTGAAACGTCTCTTGCCTTCAAGCTTCACTAGGGGTTGCCAGAAGTCAGCTTGACTCGATGGCAAATATAATTTAAAAACATTTAAAAAGAATGGAACGCCTATGAATGGCAAGGGTCTACATCCATTCTTTCATAAGACTGCATTGCAAAAGACGTAGGTCTTAGAAATGCACAATAAGGGGATTTTAAAATGGTATGTTCATCATTTCAGAACTATGTTCAGAACTTTCAGTGCGTGTTTGAAGAGCACCGCTGGGTTGCTGGGTTTTTTTCTGTTTGTTCAAAGCTTCTCATGACAAAGAAAGATGCAAGTTACTTCTCTGCTGCCTCATAACTACAAGACTTGAGGTAATGCTGCTCTGCTGGGAAAACGCCAATAGCACTGAGGCCTCTACACCGACTTTCACTGGTTCTGCTTCTTAAGTGAATTTTCCCTGCTTCTTGGCACAGTGCAATGGGGGCTGGAAGGGGAAATGGCTTCCAATAGTTCCTTTGTGTGTGGCTCTGTATAATGGAAGACCTTTTCACTAATCAATAGACTATAAGAGCCACTTGCCTGGGTTACCTCATGCTCATCTAGAATTGCACCAAGAAACCCAGAATGGAGATATGCAGATGAAGGGGTGGAGCCATGTCCACAGCAACTTGGCTCTTCGTGGTTCCCAGTGAGTTATGTGGGACACAGCTAATGGACTGCAATTTGGGCTACAGATGCTAGGAATAGGTTTAACCAACCTCAGCTTAAGCGAAGTCTCTGAGCATGTATGTCTTTCTTCTAAGTGAATGAGTAACATTTACTCCTAGGAGAGACAAAAGTGCTACACTTTGAGACAATGTTATAATGGGAACAAAACCTGCCTCTTGGTCCTAATGGTTGGTGATTCATCTTCTACCACTGAGGATCTCCTTGGGGCTGTAATGTTTCCTGTGTGCATTGCATGTACAGAAGCATAACCAAGGAATTGATTCAAAATGGAAGCCATTGATCTTTCCCCCACCACCACTTTCATAATTGTAGACATTTTGCCAGTGGCAATATTTACTGTCTATATAGCACTTTTTTCTAAGTGCTCACATACAAACTATGCCTGTGATCTTTATGACCATCCTGTAACACTGGTATAATCCCCATTTTATGGATGGGGAAGGATGAGGCTGAAGGCCAGACAGAATATTCGCTGCTAAAACAAGCTTTGGACTTTTTTCTTCTTGGGTAACCCTTCGTTTTCACTTTAACCATTACGCGATACACTGTGTTACAGCCAAACCCTTTAACTGGTGTTTTGCTTTTCAACAGAACATTTCTATCTTCCCAGTTTTCCATACTTGCCTAGTGGAACACAGTATTTGCCTTCCACAAGTCTGTAGCCTTGTGCACACGAGCAGCGATAGGACTTCACTTCTGGATAGCAAAAGTGACGGCAACCCTCGTTCATTTCATGGCGACACTCATTTTTGGCTAAACAGAATGTGACACATTTTTAAAATGAGACGGAAAGCTTCAAAATGAAATCAATGGCAGTTGTATTGCAGTTGTATTGCTCCAAAGTGATATGGGCAATGGTGTTTCTCCCCCCATGTTTATTCTTTTGCTTTCTGTTGCCCAGCATATCTAGGGTTTACCCACATGCCCATTCCCATGCATCTGTTGTGTGCTGCTACCATGGGTTTCTGGTCATTTTTTGCAGCAAAGACTGAGAATGAGATAGAGAACCATAGAACCATTCATCCAACGAGACTCCAGTTTTGACAGCAGAGGTCAAATTCTGTGGGCAGCCAACAGTGAGAAAGCCCCAAGAGCAACTTCTGTGCCCACTCTTTGGACTGTGACCAGAAATAGCAACACATGTGTCAAGGTTGCCAGGTCGCTGGCAACTAGCAGGGGATGGGGGGGGGGGGTATGGTGGCCAGATCCAGGCTGGGAAACTCCTGGAGATTTGGGGAATGGAGCCTGGGGAGGACAGGGACCTCAGTGGGGTACAGTGCCATAGAGTCCACCCTCCAAAGCATCCATTTTCTCCAGGGCAACTGATCTCTGTAGTCTGGAGATGAGCTGTAATTCCAGAGGATCCCCGAATTTATTCATAAGTGGCTAAACCAGTAAGATTCAAGTTCTATGGGACTGGAACGATCAGGAAACGATAAACTAGAGAAGTTACACTGGAAGGAGGAGAGGAGAGACGGTTAGAAACAGACTTATGTGTTAAGGATTTTTAATACATCTTCTCAAAAAGAAGATGTTCATAGACATAGGGGCAGGGCTATTTTTGGGCAGGAACGCACAGGAACGGAGTTCCGGCTGGCTCCCGAGTTGACCACTCCCAGCAGGAACTCATTAGCATAATAGGCCACACCCAACAGCAGACACTCATTAGGATTGGCTACATTAGGGGTGTGTGGCCTAACATGCAAAGAAGTTCCTGCTACAAAAAAAGCCCAGAGTTTTGAAAACAAAGTAAACAGAATAAGAAGCAAAAGGTGGGTGTGGCTGAATGACCACACTTCTGGTAACACGGGGTGTGTGGCCTAATATGCTAATGAGTTTCTGATGTTGGGTGTGGCCTATTATGCTAATGAGTTCCTGCTGGACTTTTTCTACAAAAAGAGCCCTGCATAGTTGCCAGCTGTGGGTTGGGAAATTCCTGGAGATTTTCGGGATGAAGACTGGGGAGGGCAGGGTTTGGGGAAGGGAGCGACTTCAGCAGAGTATAATGCCACAGAGTCTAGCCTCAAAAGCAGCTGTTTTATCCAGGGGAGCGGATCTCTGGAGGTCAGTTATACTTTCAGGCCTGGGGATTGACAACCCTAGTTAAGTATGTTCTGGTACCTGAGGGAAATTAGAGTCTCCGTGATGGTTAAACAGCTTATAGGTTGACTCTCTACTGACAAAAGGAATTTCTGTCAGCAGAGTGGGACTTTTTTCACTACCCAACCCACCCCTTCAGTGGCAAGCCCAAGTACTCCCTGAAATGATGCACCTCCAGGACAGAGGACCCCAGGAATAGCAAGAGGGGGAGTTGTAGTTCTGCGGTGGGAGAGAAGAATTGGTGGAAATTTCTTTAGAGGGCTAAAACAAAGAAAGATGGAGGCAAGGTATCTTGGGGGGAACCAAGGCAATACTGCTTATGATTCTTCCTGTGTCATCTGTCTGCCTATTGCTGGAAGATGGAAAACTAAGAGAAGTGGACTATATCTACTGCAACATAGTAGCGCTCAGGGCTATTTTTGGGCAGGAACGCACAGGAACGGAGTTCCGTCTGGTTTCAGAGTTGGCCACACCCACGACAGCCAAAACCTCTGCATGCGTGACTACAGAGGGAAGGCCTGGAGAGTGACCCCCCCCCTCGGCAACTCCAAGGGCCAGCTTGCCTGGGCTCCCCGCAGCCGCGAGGCGCCTGGGCAAGCCAAGGGAAGGCATGGGTGTGGTCTAATATGCTAATGAGTTCCTGCTGGGCTTTTTCTACAAAAAAAGCCCTGGTAGCGCTTATGCTCCAAAGCGAGATTTTTCTTTAAAAATCCTTTGATAAATGCTTATTCATAAAGAAAATGTTGACTTTTACCAAAGGCACAGTTGCTGCCTTCATAGCCGTCGCCACAAGCACATGAGTAACTCCGAATGTTGTCCTTGCACACACCGTTATGCAAGCAGGGATTTGAAGAGCACTGTTGACCACCTGAAGGGGGAAAAGTACTAGTAGATATACACAGAATTTCCTTAACAAGAGTTTATTATTGGTTCCTTTACATGCAGCCTCTGGCATATCAATTTACTACTAGCATCTGAATTGGGCTTTTTAACTGAAAACAAACTGTAATGATCCCAATAGCACATTTTCCTCAAGAGTAGCCTAAAGAGTAGCACTGGGAGTTTTGATTAATCAGTTTTCTAATGAATCAAGAGATAGAATAGAAACATTGGCTGCGGTCACACGGAGCATTAGGCACACTAGAGAGATGAAAGATAGGTGGATTTTCCGGGCACGATCTCACCGCCACATCTGGGAAGCGTAGCGCTCCCGTGGCTCACCCAAGGCTTCACTCTGAGGATGCACTGTAAAAAAACTAGTACCTCTGAGGTACTAGTTTCTGGAAACCGCGGGGCATGGGCGGGCGTCTGATCGCATTTCCGGTGGTAGTTCCAGCGCCCGCCCATGTCCCCTCGCAAAAATGGTTTTTTTCCCCAAGTCTCCACAGATGCGCACAAGCACCCAACGGAGCATGCACACACTTTCATTTTTTAAAAAAACCCCACAACCCCGTTTGCCCTGTGGCCCCACTTCTTTGCAGCGCTGCAGGATTGTCCTGTGATCGGCACCTCTCCCCTAACCATGGGACCTCCACGGGATGTCTGCTCGCGCAACCGTGCATTATTTTGCCCCAGGGCAAACAGCCACGCTTCCCCCCCACATTTTCTGGCCCATATGACCGGGGCAATTGTAAGCCAAACTGGGTGCAGGCTTTTGAATAAGTCATGGATGAAGTAATTCTCCTTTGTAAAAGAGAAACTTCCTAAGCAATTCTTTCTTTGATAAAAGAAGATTGAAATGGAGTTTCCAAGCTAGCCCTCCATCAGCAGAGTCGCAAGGAAAAATCACTGCCTTCTCAAAAGGATTTAAACCACTCTCATCTTGAAGGATTTTTTGTGTGAAAAAATCCTCAATGGGGACATGCTGCCCTGGAGTTCATCCTCCAAAAGCTGCTGTTTCCTTCAAAAAAACTGATCCCTGTTGTTTGGAGCTCACAAGTCAAGTCAAATACCTTTTATTGGCATACAATATTAAAATACACATTTCCTACTATTAATACAATCCAGTAGAGATTATAAAATAGATAATCGTGGTAAACCATTCCAAGGATATGTCAGGCCTATAACATACCTCAAGTTGTCACAAGATAGATTTGACCATACAGAAGATAGCTGAGTCGTACAATAAATTGAAATCTAAATTTTTAAACTTAAGTTTTTTAAATTATAAATTAAGAATCATTAATATGCTCAGAGTCATTCTTCCGTTTTATAAAACCATGAAGAAACTTAGCGGTCAGTTCAATGATCTCCGGGTCTCCTGAAGCAAGGAGATAATGTACCTTGTTTCTATCCGGTTGGCCTACTACCAACCTAAGGGGGGCTTCTATAAATTCCACTTGAATGTCATTTAACAATTTACAGTGTAAGAGTACGTGCTCAACCGTTTCTATTTCTCTTCTATTACATCCACAAAACCTGACTGAATAAGGAATTTTCTTATATCTCCCCTCCAGGGGTCATTTCGTAGAAAAAGAGCTAGGGGAACTCATTAGCATAACTCATTAGCATATGCCACACCCCCTGACATCAGGGGCCTGGCGGTGGACCTGCAAGGCCAGTGGGAGTGCGAGGAAGCCCCGCCAAGGCCCTCCCTGGCCCCAGGCAGGTAGGGGTGGGGAGAGGCGGGGAGGAAGCAACTTACCCTCCCTCTTCTCCTGCCTCCTCCTGGCTGAATGAGGGCTGGAAGCGGGGTGGCCGGAAGCAGGGGGCAGGGCTTCGTCATGTGCCCCGCCCCCTGCATCTCACCCCCCCCCCGAAATGACCTCTGCTCCCCTCAAGAATAGCAGAGGGGAGAACATTAAAAAGGGCCAGTTTGGAGCCCACAAGTACATACAGGAAAACTTCAGATCCCACCTTGAGGTAGGTAACTCTGCCTGCTAGTGGGTGGGGTGGAGGAGCTGCATTGGGACTTTTTGTTTAAAACTCATTTTTTTGGCTAGTGTTATTTTTCTTCCTTTCATATCTCAAAAGCTTCAAAATAAATGAATGAATATTGTCACCTTTGCCCTTTGCCCTCAGGCCAGGCTCTGGCCCCTTAAGCACGAACTGGCCTCTGGGTATTTCTCCTTGGCATCTACAGCCGTGCTTCACAAAATGTAACGTGCTTCTCAGGTGCTCCCCCTTACATCTCCATACCCAAGGCCACTGCTGGCTCAGCCCTGACAACCACCTTCGGGCTAGAGTTGCCAGGGCTGGGGGGGGGAGAGACCCAGGCTACAATTGTCGGCGACATGGTGACATCACTTCCGACATGTACTGTTGCTGTGACACTATGGCATTTGGGCAAAAACTCTATGGTAAAAACAGCTTCTACCATAGAGTTTTTGTCCAAATAGCAGTGTGTCACCACAATGTCACCAACGTGATGATGTTCCTTCCGGTACATGCCAGAACCCATATCACCACATTGCTGACAAGGTAGCCTGAGCCTCCCTCCTGCTCCTGGTGAGTCCTCCCGCTGGCCAGCTTATGGGGGTGTGGGGTGTGGCGGGGGGGGGGGGGCTGGCGGGCTGGCAATCCCACTTCCTCCCAGCCTTTCTCCAGTACCTTCTGTCAAGACCTTTGGTTCATTCAAAATGGAGTCTGCTTTAAAAGTTTGGTTCAGTCTGGCTGTGGCCTGCTCTTTGTCCTTAACTCTCCTTAGGTTTATACAGCCGTGCTGGGGGGAGAGCAAACACTTCTACACCTGCAAGACAATATGTTCCCTCTCTGGCCTTGGATCTCCTCTGTCCTGCCTGCTGCCAGCTGTAGGATAGGCAGTTTGGACATCCTCTGCAGTCTCCCTCCATCTTCTTGTTAGCTGAGCCCGGCCTCTGCAGCCTCGGAGTCTCCCTCCATACTGCCACCTCCCCTCTAGCCTGGTTCCCACCATTTTTTGCTGGTGCAGCCTGCCACAGTGGGCCCCACCCTTCCAACAGCCCCATCCCCTCCAGCCCAGCCATATTCTATTCTGTTCAGGCTGCTCAGAGTACCCTGGTGCTGCTCTCAGGGTCCACGAATGGCCACGAATATCCTTAAAGGTAGATAATTTCCTTTAACATAAATAGCCAGTTCTCAACATTCTCAAAACATTCTCAAAACAATAAATGCAACATCTACTTACCAAAATAATCATTCCAAAATTTGACCTGGATAAAAAAAAAGATATATTTTAATGAGAGACACTAAAATTGGAATCTATTTGTTCCTTCTGAATAAGAGTTAACCGGTTTCCCCAAAAGACCACTGGAGTTTTCAAGCAAAGAGGACTGGTTGCATTCAAGGCGACCTTTAATGCTGCCATTAAAATGCTTCCAAAATGCTCCCCCCCCCAAAAAAAAGACATTAACCATACATACAATATCCAATACCATCACAGATCTTTAAAACTATAACAGATAAGACTGTCACCATTTACAATCCAGTTAGTATTCTTTCCCTTACTGAAGTATTGTCTCTTTGCTTGGATGCTTTGCTTGGATTCTCTTAACAGTGTGTTGAACTTCAGATGCCGAATGACAATAGCTGGCAAATGACAATAGCAGGTAAATGGTAATAGCAGGCTTGATTGGATTAGGTGTGATATACAGAGGGGTAGTAGGCATGCTACTGGACTCTTGCTCTTTTCTACTGCTACAGACAGACTAACATGGCTACCCGTCTTGTGCTTGTAACAGCGTGTTCTCCCCCCCCCCCCAATGTACTTGAGTGAATTAGGGGAAGTTTAGAGACAATGAAGAATACAATGAGGAAGAGGCAGTAGCACAAAATGTACAGGGTCTGGTAGGATAGGGGAAAGGAAGGAGCCTGAGCAAAGGAAAGTTTGTGGTGAATTAATAGAAAGGATGACAGAGTGGAAGCAGTAAGAGGTGGGATGGAAGTGCAGGCCTGCCAAGAGCCACCATGGGCCCCCAAACAAAGATTCCATCTGTCCCCCCAATATGACCCGGCTCCAAACCAAATATCATAACAAAAAAAAAGTCACTTTGCTGACTGTCACCACACATCTCTAATAATAAAAGGATCTACCCGTCCATCTGTCTGTCCATTTGTGGCAGGTGTAACTCATCAGAAAATAAAACTAAGAGTCTCAGAATTGGCCTCCAGCTTCAGGATGATCACAGGAGTTCCAGGGCCAAAAATGAAAGGAATTGGAATGTCCTGGCCCAGGGTATCTCCAGACCCTTTCCTTGCTATTTGCAATAGAAGCTAAGCTTGTGTAGTGGTTAACGTGTTAGACTAGGATCTAGGAATCCCAGGCTCAAATCCCCACTCTGCTATAGAAGCTTGCTGGGTGATCTTTTGACCTATCACACTCTCAGCTTAACCTACCTCACAGGATTGTTGTTAGGGCAAAATGGAGGAAAGGAGAATGATGATAATTGTTTTGGTTCTCCATTTGGAAGAAAGGTGGGATATAAACTTCTGTTCCTCATTTGTTACTACAGATGCTAATTAACATTTCCTTTCATGCATGTAAAGGGGTGCACATCTTTTTACTACTTTGATAAATTATGGGGAATTATTAACTACCCCTTCTGTTCATAATATTCAATCAATCAATCAATAAACCTTTAATAGCATATACAGCATTAAATTCAGAAACAAAAGATGACACAGTCAACTAAAAAACTGAAATAATTATAAAATCATGAAACGGAGTTTCCCAAATTTTTCACTCTTATCACATCGACTAAAAAATTAGCCACTGCCACTGTAATCTCTGCTGTTGTATCATTCAATAGAATTTGACATTTTCTTTCATTAGAAAGGTGATATTTACCATGCAACCAAGAGTTTAACCATTTTTCCCTAGCAGATACATGCAACGCTGTTCATAATATTAACAAAGGTGTGCTGCTGTACTACTATTAAATATGTTCTAAATTGCCAAATAGGAGGGATGAAGAGCTGAGACTGAAAAATGAGGTGGGGAGAGAGAAATTAAAAGTAGAAACAGATGAATGGCAGATCAAGAAAGGTAGACAAAGAAGGAGAAAAGTATGGATAAAAGTTAAAGAATTTGAGGGAAAGACAATAAAAGGGTTTTTAAATACAGCAACCATACACTAACAAGGCTGCCCTTTTGCAAGATCTGGCTGTGCAGGGGCTGGGTGAAACTAAAGGAAAAAGGAAATCATGGGCAGCTGCAGATAATGACCCTGTTCAGGGGCTTCATCCTGGCATCTACTGTAACTTGTCCTGGCTGGTCTTGCCTTGCTCCAGTGCTGCCTTGGCTGATGGGTTTAGCAGGATTTGAGATGCAAGGGCTACCCTCAGCCTTGTAGTAAGCTTTTCAGAACAGCTGAGCTCTTTACTGTGGTCTGCTTTCCCTGCATCCCTAGTGGCTGCAGTCAGAAATGCAAAAAAAAATGCATTCCATAGATACAGGGGCCTTCTAGCTCCCTCCCCCGAATTTTGTCCTCCCCGTCCCTCACTCTCAGTGGCTCTGGGCTTCCCTTCACCTACCTTTCCTGTGAAAGTTTGGAGGCAATTAACCAGTCGAAATAAAATTGGAGTGTCTTCAGTGGAAATAGTAGCCTATTCATAAAATGTATGGAGCCACTCTGAAAGTGTATTCTACTCACTATGTAAACTATGTTCAAGGGTGGGGTGTATACCACTTTAAAATATATAAACAACTGTGGTTTGGAAATTAGTTTGGCACACTTATTGGTTGCATCTGCTTGTGAAGCCTGAGTAATATCCCTGGATGCAGGGATAATTGCATATTTTATGATTCTGCACTAGAGTAGGAGACTTCATTACCAAACATCTTAAGCATTTATTGTTGGGTCAGCAAGTCTTCTGGTTAGGCTATAAACTGCTTTTGGTGCCAGCCCAGTGGCTTGTTTTATATGAAAGTAGAAAACGTGCAATAGGAATACGTACTGTTTTTTCCGTGTCTTCAAACACTTCTCTTGCTTCTTCATATGAACATATTTCTTCAAGGCATTCTCTTTCCAGATTACCTTTGAGGATTTCCTCAAGAAGCATGAAACTGGCACGCTTTGATCTAGCGATTATGTTATTTGCTTCTTGAGCTGATAGAAACACTGGAAAGCAAGACAAAAAGAGGCTGTGAACAATTTTCTTTCTTTCTCCAAACATACTTGGTATGACCAATCCAGACTCAAGCCACGCTCTCTCCTCAGTATGCATAACGTGTCCTAGGGTTGCCAAGTCCTACCTTCATCTGGAGCAGGGGACTTCCGGGTTGCTCCCAGAGCGCGCGCACGCCACATCCATGTCACCTGGAAGTGACGCAACCATGCCGGGAATGCTGGGGGCAGGGCCACAACCATCTGAGGGAAAACCATAGAGTTTTCCCTCGGATGACTGTGGCCCCGCCCCCAGCATGCCCGGCGTGGTCGCATCACTTCCGGGTGACGTGCACGTCACGTACTTTGGGGGTGGGGTTCCCCCCCTCCGGCCTGATCCGCCGATGGCGGGAAACAGGCCTCTGGGGCGGGGGTTTTCCCGCCCCCCGGGGGGACTTGGCAAGCCTAACGTGTCCCACATTAGGCCCAGCCATTAGTCAGAGACTCATCTAACTTTAACTGGAAGAGAAGTTCTGTCACCTGCAAGATCATAACAGCTATGAGCTGGTGTGATATTACAGAAAATTCACAGCCTTTCAAACTTTTGAGGAAGAAGGGTAACTTGTATAGTGCTGAGTAACAGGGCAACTTTTGTGAGAGAAGTGAAAAATCAGCTTGGCCTTTGAGAAACTTTGGAACAAGTTTGCTCCTGATTGTTAGGAAAAGGTGCCAGACTCAGGGACACAAAGGAATGAAAAGTTGAATGTGAAGAAACTTTTGGATACGGAGAAACTAATGAAGGAAGAAGGACGCAGTAAGCACTGTGCTGAGAACCAATACAGTGACTGAAATCTAAGGGTGGGGGTGGGGGTGGGAGGAATAGACAGATAATGGTTGTTGTTGGAAGACAAAGACAAAGGTTCTTGGGAAAGCCTCACAAAACCCTACATGTAGATGTTCATAGGTGTGAGGCTCTTCCCTTACCAGCACTGCCCCAGGCCTTTGGCCATCATGCTGTTTTACTTCCTGGGGGTCTCCCCAGGCCTCAGAATAGGAAGGGGAGGGGGCACATGGTTGCACTACCCTAGTCCTTTCCTCTCTTTCCTCAAGCAGTGTTCCTCCAAGGTATTCTCCTTTCTGCTCTTCCGCAGCCTGGTTGTGAAGCCACAATTTATGCTTCCTTGACCTCACCCCCATCAATCATCCCCAACCCTACTCCTCCAGCCTGAGCCATTGTCTGGGTAAGGGGTTGGAAAAGCACTTATCCCAGTATCCTTCCTTTCTGACCTTCCCCCTTTCTTTTACTGGCCAGTTCCTGGAAGGCTTTCAGCCAGGCCTCCCCTGCCTGGTTACTGCATGGCTGGGCTCCTTCCATGACCTTCCCAGGCCATCACCATTGGCCTTCTGCTGGCTGCCTCCATGCTTGCTGGCCCTGTCTCTGTGGCTTCTGAGTTTCACTCTTCCCCAGCATAATCTTTTGTTATTCTGATGCCGGAAGATGATGTCAGCAGCAGACACTGGAAACCCTGGGGCCCATGAGAGAGGTTGTGAGGCTCATGCCCAGTTGCTACAGCTACCTGCTGCCCAGGGTCTCATCCTGGAAGTTCTGGCCCAGTTGATGGTGGCAGCCTGAGGTATGAGGGTGGTGGGAAAGTCCCAATAGGCTCCTTTAGCATCAGGGAAGTCTCTGATTTTGCCACAGGTGCCTTGGCTGACCGCAGACAATAGAAAAGAGCACAAAGTGGCAAAGATGCTCAGCTACATGGGGATTGTGAGAACAGCAGCACTCCAAAACAAAGTGAGTGTCTTTTCAAAAATTAAAAGATTGGGCTTTTGGGAAGGGCATAAGTACTTTCATTTAGGGATATTTGGGTCCCCAAATGCAGTTTGGGGACTTACGTTTGGTTTTTCCCCACCCTAGATTCTGGAATTCTTTGGATTCCATTATTTTTAAGAATCTGCTGCAATAATTACATTTTTAAAAAAGGGACACCCCATAAACCTCACACCCCATAAAACCCACTAAGGATGTTAGCCTCTAGGTGGGACCTGGAGATCCCCTGGAATTACAGCTAATCTCCAGACTACAGAGATCAGTTCCCCTGGAGAAAATTGATGCTTTGGAGGGTAGACTCTATGGTATTGTACTCCATAGAAGTCCCTGTCCTCCCCCGGTTCCATCCCTGGAATCTCTGGGAGTTTCCCAACCTGGACTTGGGCAACTCTAAGATCTTCAGAGCAACTATAAAACAAGACTCAAAAATATACAAAAATATTAACTTTCAACAGTAACAGCTTTTTAAACTTTTTAAAAATGTTAACAATTTGAGGAAGGTAAAATCCCCTTTCCCCAAAGCACAAACCCTTTAAAAGTTAAAAACCATTTAGAAACAGAGAAAATGCAAAGCAATTCTAAAACTAGTCAAGAAAACAAAAACAAAACAGTGCAAAACTAAACCAAGGAAAACTATTTTTGAAAGTGCCAGAAAGAATGAGGGAAAAGGTCCCTTCTTCTCCAACTACAACTGCCCTCCAGAAAAACAAAAAGCACAGGAAAACTTGATATAACATTTTAAAACAAATCAGAAAACCAATTGTGAAGATGTCCAGCAGGCAGGCACAGAACCAGAAGGTCTTCCCAGGCAGGCAGAGAGACCAGACCTGAAGCAGTGCTCCAAAAGATCTAGCCATGAAATGGAGGCCAGCGGCTCGCCTTTTATCTTATTGCTTCGAGTGAATGTTGAGCTGATTGAAGCACTCTAACAAATATCTAATAATTACTTTTATACCTACTTTAAAATACAGTTGGGTTACATAGTGAACTTGTAAGGTAACTTCTGATGTAATCCACTGCACTGATCAATGTTGGAGGGGGGAGAAGAGGGAACTAGAGATGTGCACTCAGATATATGATCTGGTCTAAAAAAAAATATTCTCTCACCTGTGTGGATTTTCTTAGTTCAACTTTATTTTTTAAAAATAAAATAAATGCTAAAAAATATTAGACTGTTCTCTATAGCAAGCAAGGTTTTAAAACGGGGGCTGTGTATTTTCAAATCGATCACATCTGATATGGTGATGTATGCCAGTGCTGTTTTCCTCATATTACCTGATACATCCAGCAACTCATTTTGCTTTGATGCAGTAAAGTCTGTTTTAAACTTTAAAAACTGCATTCCTACCAAATGAGGGCCTTCAGTGTTAATAGTAATAATTTATAAATTACACACACACATACATAAACCTTTATTGGCTTAACTACATGTATATTAACAAATATATAGCTCTCTTTATTTTTGGCTCTAATGATCGAATTAAACAAATCAGTTCTGTGTAAACTGCAGGGCCTGTCTTTGTGGGACAGTTTGCAAGATTAACTAAAGATCTCAAGAGAAAATTTGGCAGATTTCAAATGCTCAGGTTAATGAGATTAATAGGGTAATAATAAAAAATTTAATAGGTTAATAATAATTTTTAAAAAATTACTGCCCTCCTCTTTTTCCCTTGGCTTTTTTTTAGCAGGAAGTCAGCATAATATTATAGTGCATAAAAACCATACCTGTCAGTTCTGCCTCACGAAAACAGAGGACAAACAAAACAGACCATAATATCCAATGCCGAGTTCCCATTTTGTGCCTTTAGATTTGTTAGCTGTGTTCTTTTGGGTGCACAGCAGTGGCTTTTTGGTAAAGAGGCTGAACGAGTAAAGTTTAAAGTTCAAGAACTCGTAAGAAAACAGAAGGGCAATGACAGGACCAAGGGTCACACTCACCCACACACACATGAAGCTACTGTATACTGAACCAGACCCATGGTCTCTCAAGGACAGTGTTGCCTACTTTGGCAGTGCCTCTGCAGTTCTCAGGCAGACGTCTCTCACGTCACCTGATCCTTTTAGCTGGAGATGCCGGGGACAGAACCTGGGAGCTTCCACATGCAAAATGGCTGCTCTGCTACAGAAGCCTTCCCCTCGCTTGGTCCCAGTGGGGTTGGCCTCAGTGGGGAGTATTTGTCTATGCAGAAGCGATTTGGGGGTCCCATCATCAGTAAAACTGCCCCTTTTCACACAGATTAATGGCATACCTTTTTAATAAAACCAATCTAGTATTTCATTTCTGGAAGGATTTATACTAAGTTCTGATTTCCAAGATATTGTAGTGTGCGGTTTTCTTTCTATGTAGTACAGTAGGTCTATTATTTTACCCCTGTAGCCAATGGGATATTGGTGGGGTATTGTAGAAACATGTGTGTTTTGTTAGTTTTATAAATGTACCACAAGATGGCACTAGGTAAAACAACATTTTAATCTGCTGTTCTAATCTGAACATGGTGATTAAACAGTTGTATTTTATTCCTTTCTCCTAGCTCAGCTTGTCGCACATGCTGGGTGATGTCAACCAAGCCTCGGTTCCTGCCGGAGCGCACTGGAGCACCGCTCCACCAGTCAGGAACCCAGGGGGCGGGCACATAAGCCCCGCCCCCTGCTCCCACCAGCCATCAGTTCGGACACGGTGGTGGTGGGGAACATTCCCCTGCCTCCCTGAGGTGGCCCTGCGACTTGTAGTGGTGGCCTTGGACTCGTAGGGGCAAATTCCACCTCTCGAGTGTGGAATGACATGTGAGAGGTCATTCTGGCTCTCCTAGCTCTCGGGAGGGGCTCTTTAAAAAGTTATGGCCCCTGGTGCTGTCGGCGGCAGCTGCGACGCGCGCGCGTGGGGGAGGCGGGGTGAAATGTTCTTTTGCCTCCCTGAGCCCCGGGGTGGTGGCCTTGGACTCACAGGGGCAAATTCCACCTCTCGAGTGTGGAATGACATGTGAGAGGTCATTCTGGCTCTCCTAGCTCTCGGGAGGGGCTCTTTAAAAAGTTATGGCCCCTGGTGCTGTCGGCGGCAGCTGCGACGCGCGCGCGTGGGGGAGGCGGGGTGAAATGTTCTTTTGCCTCCCTGAGCCCCGGGGTGGTGGCCTTGGACTCGCAGGGGCAATTTCCACCTCTCCCGTGTGACATCACACGGCGAGAGGTCATTCTGGCTCCCCCAGCTCTTGGGAGGGGCTCTTTCAAAAGTTATGGTCTGCGGCAGCTGTGACGCCCGCACACGGGGGGGGGCGAAATGTTCTTTTGCCTCCCTGAGCCCCGGGGTGGTGGCCTTGGACTCGCAGGGGCAATTTCCACCTCTCCCGTATTACATCACACGCGAGAGGTCATTCTGGCTCCCCCAGCTCTCGGGAGGGGCTCTTTCAAAAAATTCCACCTCTCGTGTGTGATGTCCCAGCGGCAACGCCGCTCAGACATCACACGCGAAAGGCCATTTTGTTGTCCCCCCAGTTTTCAGGAGGGGCAACGCCGCTCGGACATCACAGGTGAGAGGTGGAGTTTGGCCCTATGAGTCCAAGGCCGCCACCCCGGGGCGCAGGGAGGCAAGGGAACGTTTTGCCCCTCCCCCCCGCGGGTGTCGCAGCTGCCACCGAGAACAGCGACAGAGGCCATAACATTTTAAAGAGCCCCTCCCGAGAGCTGGGAGAGCCAGAATGACCTCTCGCGTGTGATGTCTGAGCGGCGTTGCCGCTGGGACATCACACACGAGAGGTGGAATTTGCCCCTACGAGTCCAAGGCCACCACCCCGGGGCTCAAGGAGGCGGGGGAACGTTTCCCCCACCCACTGTGTCCCAACTGATGGCTGGTGGGAGCAGGGGGCGGGGCTTATGTGCCCGCCCCCTGGGCTCCTGACTGACGGAGCGGTGCTCCGGTGCGCTCTGGCAGGAACCGAGGCCTGGACAGGGGTATTCGCCAGGTGGCCTCTGAATAGCTTTTAGAAATGTAGATACTTTACCTGGTGGAACCCATTGTTATTCCATAAGCATATCTCTGCTGGGTAGAGGGGGAAGACTGGAGGCTTGCTCTGAGGTTACCTTTTGAAACCTGAAAATGGAGAGCCCCTTTTCGAAGCTGCGGCTAGTTGTTTTCAGAACCAGGTGGCAGGTGCCTTCCTTGCCCTGAGTTTTGTGGGTCTCTGGGTCACATTAGAAGTGGGGGGCTCCTGCTATTGGGGCTACCCAAGAGTAAAAGGCAGTGCCTCTGACAACAAGGGGAAATTACATGCCTACTCTTCTTAGGCCCAATCTGCATCTAGCATTTGCTTTGCTGTTATACTAAACCCACACTGGAACATAAATTCCTGTCTACATTGCATTCCACTTTCACTTTGATTGAGTGTCGCATTTTATGGCAGTGTACAGACTACATGCCGCTTTCATTTTGTTTGATCTCTGGTTTTATGGTGGCTGTCTGCATAGATTTATGGCTGTTTTATGGTCATTCAGGGGTGACTCCTCAGTCAGTACGGTGTTGGCCCAGGGTAGTTGGCCCAATCTGCATCTAGCATTTGCTCTGTCATTGTATCAAACCCACACTGGAACAGAAAAAGATGCAGCTCAAAAGCACATTCAAATACTCTGGGCCAACACTGTACTGACTGCAGAGTCACCCCTAAATGGCCATAAAACGGCCATAAATCTATGCAGAGAGATCAAACCAAGTGACAACGGCATGCAGTCTGGATGCTGCCATAAAATTCGGTAATCAATCAAAGCGGAAGTGGCATGCAATGCAGATGGGAATTTCTTTTCCAGTGTGGGTTTGGTAAGACAGTGGAGCAAATGCTAGATGCAGATTCGGCCGTTGAATGTGGTTTTGAACTGCATCTTTTTCTGTTCCACTGTGGGTTTTGTGATGTATTGAAACGTATTACATGAATCACCTCATAGGACTTACATGTTAAGCTTCGAGCCAAACCAGGGCTCCACTGAATGAACTTCCTATTGGTCGCTCTGCAACAGCGACCAATCAGAACTGTGCCTTTTCCCTGCGAGGGAAAGACTTTCATTGGTCCTTAACTAAGCAATCTCATTGGTTGTTATTTGTAAATAGGCGTGGCTACATTAGCCCGGTTATGTTTAAAAGGAGCATAAGCTCCCACTGTTTTCTGTTCTGGTTTCTTACTGAGTTTAGTGCTTGTTCGTTACTTCCAATAAAGCTGAATCACTTGCTGAATCACTCTACGAGTCCTTTGTTAGCGCGATCTAACAGGTTTGGTAAAACAGCTGAGCAAATGCTAAATGCAGATAGTGCCATAGTTAAGTTCTGACTGTACTTAGTTTCTGCTATGCCACTTATATTGGAGAATTTTTGTAGACTGTTTTTATTTCCCCCACAAATCTCTCTGTTGTTGTTTTTTTTGGTACCTTTCCTTGTTATGCCACTAAAGGCTGTGTGTGTGTGTGCAACAAATTTATTTTGCTTTGACCACCCTGGCAAATGTAAAAAAATTTCTAAGGTACTTCTCCCAAACAGTTACAAATCTTGGACACTGAATTGTAATATGAGCCAGATCTTCAATGGATTTATAGTGAAAGGAGCACAGTTGATCATCAAATGGGATTTTATTGTAATGGTCCTTCTATTACCGTTAAATCATCAAGGCGAACTATAGGAAGTTGTCTATATAAAATGGCTGAACTCAGGGTACTAAGTAACCCATAATCTACTTGTAAACTTATGTCTATCAATCTTTGTTTAGTTATGTGTCTAGCAGCTACGTAATCAAAACTCCTTAAATATTCTTCAGATAATCCCAGTTCAGCCAATAAAGACATTATATACCTTTCATCTTTTCATATGCCAATATTATTAAAAGCAATGCTTGAAAGAAAAAGAAATATATAACATTTATGAACTATTATCGATATTGGTGGCAAAGCCAACTCTGATCTCACCATAACTGATGGTGTGGAATTAGGAACTCCCAACATCATATTTGCAAATTTATTTTGTATAACTTCTAATGGGTATAGATTTTCAGATCCCCAGATCGGGGTACAGCATTTGAAGGAGTAAACATCATAATCAAAGTAATTTATTACGGTATTACACCAGCATGAAACACAGAATAAAATATACCACAGTCATTGCTGAAAATCGTTAAAAGTTTCAGATAAAATTATAATAAACTTTGTATAAGAAATTGTTTTAAAAAAACCTCCAATAATACATAGAGATATATTGTGAAAAAAGGATTTTAACCCCTTTAAGACTTAAAATTTATAAAATAATATATATATTATATTGGCTTATGTTGTACTTTATGTTTCCTTACTTTCGTGAATGTTCAGTCAGGTTTTGTAGGCTCCTGCACAGAATTTCGCAAAAAGTGCAGTCACCGTGGGTTTTCTCCCAGGAGCAACATTTTAACATATCCGATATTTGAATACCAAGGGTTTTTTTGAGCAGGGAGGGAGATATACTTTGAACAATTCATTTTATAAAAAGGGCAGTAAAGGGCAGTAAAGGAGGACATATTCTCCTGTTTGGGCCATTTAAACCTAACAGCTGAGCAGTGTGGGTCCACAGCTGACCTAACAGGTTTATATGACTGCAGTCATTTCACTGGTTGGTTTCATTTCCCCCCACTTCAAAGCAGGGGGAAGCAAAATGGCTGCCAGCCATTTCATCCTAACAGCTGACAGGTGCACCCAGCCCACCATTATGTTGAAATGGCTATGGGGGGGGGGAGTAAAACGGACCGGGGAAATGGCTCACAGCTGTTTCAACTTAACAGCTTTGAAGTGAGAGGAAGTGAAACCAACCAGTGCAATGGCTCACAGCCATTTAAGCCTAACAGGTCAGCTGTTAGATTTAAATGGCCAGAACAGCCAGACCAAACCAGACCAAAGTCCAGTAAATGGTTGAAGAAGGCACCTTCCTTGAACATTGATTTGAGAGCTCTAAACTAGCTCACATTTGTGCCGAATTCTCGCTCGTGAACCTGCTCATGCCCAACCCTAGTGCTTAATACTGGCTATATTTCCCTAAAATGTTCATATAATTAATTACAATAGCATGAAACATAAAGTTGCATATTAGGGGGATTGTATTTGGAAAGTTTTTTAAAAATTACTGAAACATTAATTGTAAGTACCAAACTGACACACTGGGCCAGTGAATTCATGGTAGTTAAAATCTGCAGATGTTCATCCAGGTGCTAATTCAAATGTAGGTATTTTTTAACAACCTTTAGCTGAACTGAAAAATTTGAAAAGTTTCTGAACTTTTTAAACACATGTTCTGATCTAGAATATATTGTGGATATATTGTGATAATATCCTTTAAAAAAAAAAGAGTATTCTGAATCTCTTTATTAATTGTTGAATATTATCAGCATCCAATCATTTTGAAAATGGAAATCTTTTATTGTTATCCTATTCTTATGTCCTTTTGGATCAGCCAAGTTCCCATTAAGGAGTTTAGGAATCGAATAAAACGTGATGGATAAGTTGTAAGAGTTGAAATAAATAAATGTTTAAAAAACCCCAGTATAAATGTGTGGGAGTTCCGCTATAGCAAGGTAAAGAGGCAAGCTATGTGAAAAGCACATTAGTCAATGGCAGCAGTTTTCAAAGGAAGTCTTGGAAATGGTGTTGGTAGTTCTAAACAGAATTCACTGCTGAATGCCCCTAGACCCACCAAATAGATAACAGCTGCCCTGTTCATGCAACATTGTTTTGCATGGTTCGGGACATAATTCTCTTGATCCAAAATATGAATTTTGACACTTTTGTGTAAACCCCGTATTTTCCTTTTCTTGCACACCCTTCTCCCCAGCTGACTATACCAGTAACAAAATAAGTGCCCTTGTATTCAGTCACATGAGGGCCTCCGCTGTCACCCTGACATGCATCTTGTGCAACTGTATTATAGCCAGCACAGAACATATTTTCGGTGATTGCAAAGTTGCTTGACAGCTTGCAGGTATTCCTGTCAACATAGGGAAGCTTAACAACTTGAAGCTTGGCAGACTGCCGACCTTTTTCATGGATGCGCCCAAAGCCGCTAACAATGCCTGCGTCTTGAGCCATTAGGATTTGATTTGCAAAGTCCGGAGTGGGAAGGCATGCAGCAGTAACATTTACAGAGAACTGGATAGGTCTCTTCAGCTTAATCAGGGCTATATCGTAGTCGTAAGTTTGCAGCACAAATCTGTGATGGACGAGTATTTTTTCTACAGCGTAAAGAGTTCCCGTTCTTTCTCTTGCAGCTGTGTCCACTTCCCCTGTGTGAAGTCAATGCAGTAGAGTTATTATTATGATGCTCTAGTATGTTGGTCTTGAAATTGCTTAATTAACTTTTCAGTAGAGGTGTGTGTGAGAGAGAAGAAGCTTCAAGAGAGAGAACATGTATCATAAAAACTTCCCATCCCACTTGCAAGTGAGCTGTAGTTAAGGCACATCTGAGCAGTAACTTTCCTGATTCACCAGTTAATACGAGAAACAAACAGGAATGATATGATATGGAGAAAATCCCATGCTGGCATTTCTCTTACATGGCACATTTGTGCACAACAGCAGCACAGATTAAAAAATATTATTCTGAAAGAATGCACAGTGAGGACCCCAGGTATTAAATGCACATATGGACCTTAAGAACATAAGAACATAAGAGACGCCATTGTTGGATCAGGCCAAAGGCCCATCCAGTCCAACACTCTGTGTCACACAGTGGCCAGAAATACCAGTGCCATCAGGAGGTCCACCAGTGGGGCCAGGACATTAGAAGCCCTCCCACTGTTGACCCCCCCAAGCACCAAGATGACAGAGCATCACTTGCCCCAGAGTCCCTATCTATACCTTGTGGCTAATAGCCACTGATGGACCTCTGCTCCATATGCTTATCTAATTCCCTTTTGAAGCCGTCCATGCTTGTAGCCGCCACCACTTCCTGTGGCAGTGAATTCCAAGTGTTAATCACTCTTTGGGTGAAGAAGTACTTCCTTTTATCCGTTCTAACCCGACCACTCAGCAATTTCATGGAGTGCCCACGAGTTCTTGTATTGTGAGAAAGGGAGAAAAGTACCTCTTTCTCAACCTGCTCTTTCCCATGCATAATCTTATAAACTTCAATCATGTCACCCCTCAGTCGTCGTTTCTCCAAGCTTAAAGGGTCTACATGAATGCACTCAGCATACATCAGTTATACAGTTACAGTTTTGACAGTCAGTTAAAGGAAAACATGAGGTATAGGGAAATCATGCTGCTGAGGCCCTGTATCTGCCTGTTGTTGTTGCCTTGTTAGCAGTTTTGAATTGACACCGTTAAGGTGGGATATAAATATTTTTTAAAAACAAATAGAGTTTGAGAGGTGTGGTAGAATCTCCCTATTGTTCCCCTCCCCCCATGTGGACTCCCTTAGGGCATCCAGCTTATAGACATGTTTAATTAAGTGTCTTTGAAAAGTCTTTCCTTTAAAAGAAGACAAATGATTATGAGGACCTACCTAAAATAACTCTAATTGATTTTGTTTGGTTTATACAATGAGCTGCAGTAAGCACAAAAAACTGGTTCAAAACTGTTCCTCCGCAAAACCCGTCACCTTCTTCATTTATTAGAAGTGCCTGAAAAGGAAGGAAAAATGTCAGAAAAACAGGATTTGAAGACTGAAATACTTTTATCATAGGTTTTTAAAATTTTATTATACAATTTATTATTATTTATTTGTATTCCTATTTGCTAGAGTCCCTACAAAAAGTCAGGCGCTCTAAATTGGAAATAAGACACGGGTCCCGGCTCAGGCTTCTGAATTAAATGCAACTGATGACATTCAAGGGAAGGGATTTTCTAACCCACTTCTCTCAAGGGTGAAACTGACTGAACATATTTGCCCTTTCTGCACAGTTGTCACAAGCACATATACTGAGATGGTCTGGGCAAAGGGGAACTATCCTCCTAGGGGGGCACAGATGTTTCTATAATGGTGTTAATTGCAGTTTTAATGCATTGTATATCTGTTTTACTGTTTCTTTTTTATTCAGTTGCTTTTTTATTGTTGTTAACCACCTTGGATCCGGAAATGCTCAAGAGAAAGAAAGATAGATGGATGGATGATAGATGATGGATAGATGATAGATTTGTCAAAGGGCAGATGGGTTCTTTTGTGACAGTTTTTATACATGGCAAAACCAAAATGATTGATTTAAAAATATAAACATTATTTGCTGAATAATTCTTCAATAAAAAAAATTAATCAACTGGCACCACAAGGTACATATACCTGCCACGGACATTCACCCGGCATACAGTCTTGGCCGCCAACTACTCTCATACCAGGATCATGCTCAGTTTCTGAGTTAGAGTTGTTCTCTGCAGTGTTGAGTGAGACTTCACCCTGAGAGTGTAGAGATGGTCTTTGTGCATTTCTGGTCACTGGTAAAATTCTGGTCACTCAATGAATCATCAAAAATCAAATCTTTTTCATCATAGTCATGGAAAGTATCAGTTGTGCCTCCAAATGAACTTGCTTCCCTCTTGTTCTTTGGTGCTCTCTTTCTCACTGTAATTTGACCACAGGGAAAACTTCCTGCAAAAACATCAATAGCATTTAAAATGTATAGACACAACCAGTGTTCCCTCTAAGCTGAGTTGGTGTGAGCAAGCTCACAGTTTTTTAGTCTCTGGCTCACACACTTTTGCCTCAGCTCAGGAAGGAGGGCTCCAGAGCAAGCTAATTTATGCAGTATCCAAATCACTAGCTCACAACTTTAATGCCAGTAGCTCACAAAGAAGAATTTTTGCTCACAAGGCCCTAGCTACCAACTCCCAACCGCTCTCCCAACTGCTGTTTTCAACTGTCTCTCCCCAACATTCCATCAGCTCTCATTGGTCACTCTTAAGGAAAGGTAGAACCCAAGCTGTCCACCACAACCACATATTATCAGGGTTAGACAAAGTAATTAATGGCACACTAATAATATAATAAAGTTTGGTTAAAAGTGATAAAACTTCATAAATAACCTTAGTTCATGACATGACTATACCTGTAGCAACACAGGATGTTTCATCTTCCCCCAGAATATATCCATCAGCGCAAGAGCACACAACAGTGTTTTCCACAAGGGTGCAGAAGTGGTGACAGCCACCATTGTTGAGTTTGCAATACTTTTGGATCACTGCATAAAAAAATAAGTAAATAGAAACACTGAAAGGAAATAAATCCATGTTCTGCAAACAAAGGTAAAGATGATAAACAAATAAACAGGGATTTGGGACATTTTCCTCTAGAGCCAATGGAGAGTGTGTCAGGCCACCCTCTCGCAGAAAGACCCAGATGCAAATCCCTGCTCTGGATGACCTAAAGGTGGGCCAGCTACACAGACTGCAACTTTGTCATCTTCCCCCTCCTGCTGCAGCACAAAACACCCTGGGGATTTTGGGATGCAGAAGGAAGGGGAATTAGAAAGTTGTACTGCACAGAGAGAAACCCTTCTACCTATGGAAATGCTGAGTTGGAGCCAACCCATCATCTTTCAACCTAGGAATGATGCTATGTATGCTGCCCCAAGCTCCTTAGTGGGAGGGACGGATAAAATGCAATAGACAAATAGTAAATGAAGAGAGACAGATTGATACCCCTTGAGATCATTTTGGCTCTAGGTCATTTTCTTGTCCTCCAAGCATACTGCCTTAAGTGTTCTGTACTGCTGTAGATTTACTTAAATGAATAGGGGAAATATTGGGAGACCAAGAAAATAGTGATGAGAGGGAACTTTTTCAATCAAGGAACTTGCAGATCCATTTCCTGACTTGCAGCCAAATCTCCAGAAGAAATGGTGTGGAAAGGTATCCTACTTGTTCCTTAAGGAAATCTGAAGCCTTTTTCCAACCTAAGAATGGAAGGGTCATGTAATTTAGGGGACAGCTCATGAGGCTAGAGAGATTTCTTGTAGCCTAAAGTAGGATATCACCCTTTAGGTGTAGTATTGCCTGGTGACTGGTGACTGAGGCTGCCTTAAAGGCTTCTTTGTATGCATACCAGCTCCTGTGCCAGAAAGGACTTCCATGCACACCACATTGTCAGGGATCCTGTGACATGTCTCTATTGTGTACACAGAGGTGATACCAAAGTTCTGGATCAATTGACTGAAGGCAGCTCCATAGTTTACACAGCAAACCTGAGGCGTCCCATAAACCATGGATAATTCCTACATGTATTTATATGCTCACATACTGTGTCTGAACCCTGAGTGGGCCAGTTTGTGTGTGAAAGGGAACTTGTATGTCTCCTCTGCAGCCAGGTGCACAAGCTGTCCTTGCATTGGGAAGCTTATGTATCATACCAGGGGTGGTGGTGGTGGGGAATTCTCTCTCAGACATTACAAAGAGGTATGGAGAAGTGGAAGAACAGGTCACTTGTGCTATTTTCCCCACCCCAAACCACACACACACACAACAAAATATCCAAAGCTTCTTTAAGGTATTTGGATAGAAGTGTCAAGATATTTTTATTCATCTGTTCTTGAATCATATGCATTCTTTGCTTTCACAGTTGCTGTACAGAATTATTCTATAATTATAAACCTTTCATACTCGAAATCATTTTGATTCGTGTGCAGGAGGATGTGGCTTCGGCCTCAGATGAGGCCTCTTATCTTGGTGTTCTTAACTTAAGTCCCAGTGCCAAGGGCTGGTTGAAATGTTGGTGATCCCACATGTGGTGGGAGGACTTGGGACTGTATGCTCCTGCTGCCACAGCATGCCACAACATGCACATACATATTTACAGACATGCAAGCAGTATGCTCAGTTTCTGTTTTCCTCCCCCCCCCCCTTTTGGAGTTTTGGGAATAGCAGAAATCAGGGGAAATGGTGCATATCAACCGACCCTGTGTTAATTTAGGGATGCCGTACTCTATTATTTCAGCCCAAGTCACCACTCCGATGATCAAAAGGCAAACTTACCTGATTCACATTGGAGGCCATGATAACCATCTAAACACATACAGGTAAATTTACCAATTCCATCGTTGCACGTCCCACCATAATGGCAAGGGTTAGGCTCACATTGGTCCCCATCTAGAGTGGGAGGGGAAAAGAATCTAAGAGGCTAAAATATTTGTGTGTTACACAGACAAATGTGATGGCATTAATTGTCTCATCAGGATGCATGTTGTTTTCTGGCGTAAGTGCAGTCCCCACTGATACAAAAGTTTGCTGTGAGCCTTACCTGAAGCCAATATAGAATCCCATTTACTGTTCATAGATTCTGCACAGTATTCATATGCTAAGTTCCCAATATGCTGTTGTATTCTTTTTTAAAAAAAAATAAACACAGCTAACTAATCCTAATTCCATGTTACAGCAGCATTCAGATCCCCAAAAATCATTCAGTTCAGGTCATAAAACAAATGTAAATAGCACTCACAATATCAGGCTGTGGGGGGGGGGGATTTTTTTGATACCATTGTTAAGCTAGAAAATGTGTTTGGGTCTTAGGCTCCAAGCCCATTACATGGAAATATTCCATCAAAATTGACCTAACGTACTTTTATGCTATGGGTTTGAGTTGTTAAAGAATGTAATAAGTGTGTAACATTTGCACTCAGAGCTACAGAAGTGGGGGTTTAGCTTAAATGATAAAATGTTTTGTTGACTTTATGTTACTGGCCCAACAGCTTGCAGCTATGAATGGAGATATACATGTATCTTTACAAAAGTGGATCACAATCCTTTCTTACCTGTGCCTTCTTTCCCTTCTTTGCTTTGTTTTTTTCCAAAATGCCAACATTTAATGTTAATCTCCTTGGGACGAAGGACAGGTCTAACTATGTTATTTGTTTAAATGTTGTAAACTTCAGTGGCACCATTTAAAAACCAGCCAGTTCCTAGCAGGAGATAATGGCTGTGGCAACATAGAGAGCTTTAAAACAATTCTTAACAAAATGATTACTTGCACACAGAGCAAAAGGAAGGTACAAGAGGTTGTTTACTTGATTTTACTTTGTAACGCACCTCAGGCAGATTCCTTGGAGAGGTGGAATAATTTTTTTCTAAATAAATAATGGTTTCTTTTGGTTTTAAATGGAAAATGTAGTGGAGATAAAATAGCTTTTACTTAGAGCCAAGCAGAGTCATTGAGGAGTCTCTTCTGTTTGCACAAGAACTGTTGTGCACATGGAAGTTCTCCAAAGGATCCAACCTGGAATCCTCCTTCACAAATGTATGGCCACTAAGGGGATGCACACAGTTTAGTTCTTCTGGACAGGCTTTTTACAGGATCTATATATAAACGAAGTGGGTGTGATCCAGCCAGCTTATTTGCTAAAACTCACCAAATCATCTTCCTTACTACAGTCCCATCCCACATGGCTGTGTCCATAGAGGTCTCATGATCCCCTGCATAGCTTTTTTACGTGGTCAAAAGATACCCTTCCACCTTTTTTCACCTTCAGAGGAGATGGCTGGATCCAAACCTGTCTGAGGTACTACAGAATGATAATGTAGTTCCTTGGCCCATTCTGCATCTAGCATTGGTCCCACTGTTTTACCAAACCCACACTGGAACAGAAAAAGATGCTGCTCAAAACCACATTCAAATACCCCAGGCCAACACAGTACTGACTGCAGAATCGCCCTTGAACAGCCATAGGGTTGCCAAATGGGCCCAGGGGGCGGGGAATCCCCTGCTTCGGAGCCCCGATTTCCGCCCCGGCGGAATCGGGGCCCGGAGGAACCCCATCCCCGAAGCCACGTTGCTGATGTTGGGGGCGTGGCTGAGCCCGATGAGCTCAGCCACGCCCCCAACGTCAGCAACGTTTTACGTCACTTCCGGTGATGTCCTGCCGGCGCGCGCGCGCACGTACCCGAAACAAACTCCTGGACACCGCCGAGGCTCCCCCGCTCCGAGGGGTAAGTGGATTTGGCAACCCTAAACAGCCATAAAATGGCCATGACTCTATGCAGACAGTACCATAAAACCGAGAGATCAAAGGAAGTGAAACTGGCATGCAGTGTGGAGGCTATAATAAAATCCGACAATCAAAGAAAGTGAAAGTGGCATGCAATGTAGAGGGGAATTTCTGTTCCAACGTGGGTTTGGTAAAAGAGCAGAGTGAATGCTAGATGCAGAATGGGCCCTTGATTGCCAGAGTAGCCAACCCTAACCCTAGTGCAACTAGAAACTGAAGATCTGAGAGAGGGTGATTTGATATGACATCTTAATCATGATGAATCAGCAAATGTACGTTACCAAATATACATTCTCTGTATCTTCAATAAATGTTGTAGTACAAAAGACTTTAAAATATCTCTTACCAAAATATTTATTCCAGAATGCTTCCTAATGAGAAAAAACATAGCACGTTTATAAAATTAGTTAGCTGGAGTGTAAAAATGTCCATCACACAAATTAGAGAAAACTGATTCAAAGAGTAAGATTGACCTAATACAATCCTTTAAGGACCATCTATAGAGTTCATCACACTTCTGTAAATTCCACCACACCTTTTGTTTCCTTTTTTCCAAATGGTGAACCTTTTCCCTTTTTGTAACTTTACTACCCCCGCCCCTCAATGCACAATATGCTTTATGGACACTGCCCTAATAATACTTTGGTGTGTGTTGGGGGGGGGGGGAGTGCTGTCAAGTTGCAGTCAACTTATGGCGACCATATAAAGTTTTCAAGGCAAGACATGAGCAGAGGTAGTTTGACATCACCTTCCTCCGCATAGCAACCATGGTCTTCCTTGGTGGTCTCCCATCCAAGTACTAACCAGGACTGACCCTACTAAACTCCTGAGATCTGCTGAGATCTGGGGTAGATAGCCATACAGAAGATACATGATAGCTGTTCTGTGACAAGATCCGCACAGCTCTACCACTTCCCATCATGGTATTTTCTCTAACACAGCAGCTTGCAATCTGTAGCCTATTGAGGTCCAGGGCTCTCTGTGCATAGGATTACGGTTTCAAGAAGTCTAATAAAGGGCCAATATTAAAAATATTATAATATCTAAGAAAGGCAGTTAAAAACAAATAAGGGCCCAATGAAAGCCTCATTGCAAAGTTCAAGTGGCCTGAACCCAAGGGCCAATACAAATGACCTGGCGTGTTTCCGCCCTATTGGGGGCCTTCTTCAGAGGTCAAACAGTTTGAGGTACACATGTTATAATATTACATATTACAATAAGATGACCAATAAGTTAATATTGGACCAAAAAAAGAAAAGTTAAACAGCAAGATCAATGACACAAAACAAAGATGTTTGTGAGGCCTCTAAAGATGAGAGTCATGTGTCTGGTGCCAAATGCACAGCTGCTGAATTAGAACATCTTCCAATTCTGGTCCAGATAGGGTTCCCAAGTACTTACCATGATCCGGCGGGGGAAACATGCTCCCCGGGCGGACCATTCCTCTCTGTAATGCACCATGCCGTCGCCAGGAAGTGACGCCGGGCGACGCTCTGGCAATGGGACTGAAAACTCGATGGTACCATCGAGTTTCCAGCCCCATTGCCAGAGCGTTGCCCGGCGTCACTTCCTGGCGACGGCATGGTGCGGCGCGTCTGTTGTCCCCACAGGAATGATCCTGCAAGGACGTCTGTGTCCCCCACCAAATCACGGTAAGTACTTGGGAAGCCTGGGTCCAGAAAGCACCTATGTGGCTATCTTAGTCAGAACCAGAGTGTCCTTAAGCAAATAGCACCCTTTGTGGTTCTTGATTCCAGTTTTTGGGTCATGTTTGTTTTCCCCTCCCTGTGTCTTACCACTTGTAGGATTACGGTTGCCAGCTCTGGGCTGGAAATACTTGAAGATATGGAGGGGTAGAGCCTGAGGAGGGTGGGGTTTGAGAAGGAGAGGGGCTTCCAAGGGGTATAATGCCAGAGAGTCCACCTTCCAAAGTAGCCATTTTCTCCCAATGAACTGATCTCTATTACCTGGAGATCAGGTGTAATACCAGGTGATCTCCAGCCACCACCTGGAGGTTGGCAACCCCACACCAGATCCACTGAGCTACAAGTGCATTACAGGAAATCAGAAGGGGAGCCAGGATCATACACAATCCAAGAGAGCAGGAGACAGAAAAACAAACCAAGCACCCAGAGGTGCATTGTAGTGAGGAACTGGCTGAGGGTCAGAGTCGTAAAGGAATCACTTGAGCCTCTTCTTGCTTTCACAAGCATACAGATAACCAGGAGGCTGGCAAAGTTGCTTTCCTTGCATGTGTATTAGCAGCAGGTCCTTCCAAAAGGGAAAAAAGGCGAGGAGGAGGAGGCGGCAACCACTAGCTTGCAACTCAGCAGGAAGGGCTTCATGACCCATTTCTCCAGTCCCTCTGCATTGTCAAGAAAGGCCCCAGAACTGGCTTGCCAAACAGTACATTGGCATGAACTTGCAAAATATTATTCACTTACAAATATTTTCAGTTTAATGTAACCTCTCTGGTCCTTGTAAAAAAGAAGTACATTTGATGTATTTAATCAATATGTATGAATCAGGAAAAGAAAAGGAACAAACTGTGGCAAACTATGATACTATAATACATAACCTGAACAAAATAATTTCTCAGGTTCTTAGGATCATGGTATTTCAATTTGTCTAGGTATGTGTAACGTTTGCTATGGAAGTCAGGATTTAACTTTCCACATAAATTGTAGCAAAATTAAATAGAAATCTAGTGGTACTAATGGGATTTTATTCCAGCATAAGTTTTTGTGCACTAGAGTCCACTTCTTTTGATACAGAGAGATACCTTTATCAGGAACACTGTTTTTCTAACTTTCCCAATGATGGGGGCAGACTCATTGTGCTTGCATCTTGTACATGGGCACACATGTGGCAATTATGGATTGATAGGGCCAGTGCACTCACTCCCCCTTCTCAAATACTGGCCCCGGAACAGATACATCATGTTTTCAGTGCTACTAACCAACTAGCATAAAGCAGAAATCAACTATAAAACCAAAATAAACCCAGGAACACGGCTGTCCTTACTGTTTTCGCTTGATCTTCAAAGACCTCTCTGGCTTCTTCTTTTGAGCACCTCTCCTCATAACACTCTCGTTCAATATTTCCTTTCTTAAACTCCTCGAACATTGCATTGGCACGCCTAGTTCTGCTCAGAAATTTGTTGGCAGTTTTGTCCCCTAAGAATACTTAGCAAAGAAAGAAAGAAAGAAAGAAAGATTTGTTGCTTCACAGGCAAACTTCTCTGTCTATTAAAAACAACTAAATAAAGTGAATAGAAAAGTGTAATTAGAGCGGCTCTAATTTCATGGGAAGAGCACTGTTGTGTGTAATGGTGGAAAACATAACAATAGGTGGGTAAGTAAGAGATTTTTTGATATTGTCTACACTACAAGAGTAAGTTGCAGATCAGCTATGAGACAGAGTTTGCCCTGGTCCAGATGTTTACCTTGTCACATGGACAGAAGCCACCCACAGTCTGTAGTGGCTGCTAGTCCCCAAAACCGTTACAGGCAGCTATACTTCAAGTCTTCCTCCAGTCTTCTCCTCATCCCATGTTTCAGGCAAGAAGAGAGAGCACTTCCACTCATTCAGTCTTATGGCAGCACAACTCCTGGCTGCTGCTATAGGAAATAAGGAAACCCATGTCCTATATTTGCCAGTTTCCTTGTTAGAGCTTGCAAAAACAGCAAAGGTCTTGCAATGGCAGCTTTCTACTTGCTCCAAGGGTGATGAGAAGGCTGGAAGGCTATCTGTAAGTTCTGGACCAGAGACAATCAGCCAGTGGAAGGCTCAGTAAGAGGCAAATCAGGACACTGTCGAAGTTTTAGAATTCCCACTTACATCCAACACCGATGCTGAATTTTAATACATTTTAATAGATATCATTATGTGCCATGAAGATATGGGTGTGTAACATGCCTGAGTCAACAGCCTTTGTAGGACATATGTTTAGTTTTCCTGTAACTGCTAGACTCAGGTGGTTTGAATAAGAAATGCACAAGCTCAACAAACACAATAATTTAAAGAGAAAAAATTATTCTAATTCCACACCAGACAGATACATTATAAAGCTGTTTCTACAAGGAGGTTTTTGTCTTCTTTGGCTACCAGGTAACAACACCTGCTTTTATTTTTTTTAGCATCCACTCACTGTCATGATCTAGTTGTGTTCCAGTTGTCCTTTCCCCATCTGCAATATGCTCTTTCCCAAACCTGCTTTCCTCTGATATTTTGGGAAGAGCACAGTCCAAGTGTCTTAGCAATCTGGATAGAAAGATGCACATCATCTCACCTACAGCAATGCCATTTTCCTTCCCTTGGCTCCACCACCTGCCATTTTCCCTGAGGGCTATTTTGGGATTTTTTTGTAAGAATTTTGTTGAAAAGGTTCTGCATGGAGAAGTCCTGCATGGAGCCATGATTGACTCTGTTGTCGAACTTGTGTGTAGCCACCTAAGTAACATAATTTTTATAACAGATCATGGTGGGTGATTATGTCATGTTGATACTGTGGGGAAGCATGAAAACCTCACACTTTCCAACAGCATCACACCTAGTGCAAATAGCTCATGTGGAAACAGCTTTAGTCATGTAGGTGCAACCTAACTTTCCCAGAGTTTGTTGATTACCGCAAGCAGTAAGAATGGGAAAAACTGGGTTGCCTTAAATCAATGGTTTTTAAACTGTGAGTTAGGACCAAAAGTGGGTTGTGAGACCAGGAGGGAGGAAGAGGAGGAACAGAGTGAAATAGAGGAGGATGCTGTATGGCTTGCCTCTGTGGCATGGTTTGCCTCTGTGGCATGGCCACAGCTTGTTGTTCAGTAATGTTATTGAGTTCAGCATTTGTATAAATAGGGAGTCACCCCAAATGACCGACACAATCACTTTTAACTTTAAAAGGGATAACTTCTCTGAAATGAGGGGACATGTGAGGAAGAAACTGAAAGGAAAAGTAGAAAGGGTCAAAACCATTGGAGAAGTTTGGAGACTATTTAAAACTACAGTCCTAGAAGGTCACTAATATATAGTCTCAGTGAGGTTGATAAAAGGGAACACAGGCTGTGGCAAATAAAATGCAAGTCTGTGATCAGACAGGCAAAAAGGGAATATGAGGAGCATATAGCAAAAAACATTAAGACCAACAATAAAACTTTCTTCAAATACATTAGAAGCAGGAAACCAGCCAGGGAGGCAGTGGGGCCCTTGGATGACCAAGGGATAAAAGAAGTATGGCATGGTTTGCCTCTGTGGCATGGCCACAGCTTGTTGTTCAGTAATGTTATTGAGTTCAGCATTTGTATAAATAGGGAGTCACCCCAAATGACCGACACAATCACTTTTAACTTTAAAAGGGATAACTTCTCTGAAATGAGGGGACATGTGAGGAAGAAACTGAAAGGAAAAGTAGAAAGGGTCAAAACCATTGGAGAAGTTTGGAGACTATTTAAAACTACAGTCCTAGAAGGTCACTAATATATAGTCTCAGTGAGGTTGATAAAAGGGAACACAGGCTGTGGCAAATAAAATGCAAGTCTGTGATCAGACAGGCAAAAAGGGAATATGAGGAGCATATAGCAAAAAACATTAAGACCAACAATAAAACTTTCTTCAAATACATTAGAAGCAGGAAACCAGCCAGGGAGGCAGTGGGGCCCTTGGATGACCAAGGGATAAAAGAAGTATTGAAGGATGACAAGGAAATGGCTGAGAAACTGAATGCATATTTTTTTTGCCTCTGTCTTCACTGTGGAAAATGAGAAGTGCTTGCCCACTCCAGGACTGCTGATTTCAGGAGGGATGTTGAAAGACCTGAGTCAGACTGAGGTGACGAGAGAGGAGGTCCTATGACTGATAGACAACTTAAAAATGGATAAATCACCAGGCCCGGGTGGCATCCATCCGAGAGTTCTGAAAGAACTCAAATGTGAAATTGTGGATCTCCTGACAAAAATATGGAAACTTTCTTTAAAATCAGCCTCCATTCCTGAGGACTGGAAGGTAGCTAATGTCACTTCCATCTTTAAAAAGGGTTCCAGACGAAATCCAGGAAATTACAGACCATTCAGTCTGATGCTGATACTGGATAAGTTGGTGGCAACTGTCATTAAGGAAAGAATTAGTAGGCACAGAGATGAACAAAACCAATTGAGGCAGACTCAGCATGGGTTCTGTTAGTGTTCTTTGAGGGGGTGAACAAACATGTGGACAAGGGGGATCCAATAGATGTTGTTTACCTTGACTTCCAGAAAGCTGTTGATAAAGTTCCTCATCAAAGGCTCCCAAAAAAGCTCAATAGTCATGGGATAAAAGGATCAAAAACTGGCTAACTAATAGGAAACAGAGAGTGAGTATAAATGGGCAATTTTCTCAGTGGAGGGTGGTAAGCAGTGGGGTACTGCAGGGATCAGTACTGGGTCCGATGTTTTTTAACTGTTTATTAATGACTTGGAGTTGGGAGTAAGCAGTGAAGTGGCTAAATTTGCAGATGACATGAAGTTGTTCCGGGTTGTGAAAAGCAGGGAGGATTATGTTGCCAGAGGCAGTTTCTTTTACTCTTGGGTAGCCCCAAAGCAGGAGCACCCCACTTTCTAACCTGACCCAGAGACCCACAAAACTCAGGCCAAGGAAGGCACTCCTGGTTCTGAAACACAGAGCTAGACACAGCTCTGAAAAAGTGGTCTCCATTTTCAGGTGACAGGCAACCTCAAAGCAAGCCTCCAGTCTTCCCCCTCCACCCAGCAGAGAGATGCTTATGGAATGACAATGAGTTCCACCAGGTGAAGTCTAAAGTCTATTCAGAGGCCACCTGGCAAATTGTCCTCTTCTCTCCAGTACCTCACCCAGCCCTTTTGTATCATCCTGTGTCTATGTGTAAATTCTTTGTCTTTCCTGCTCTGTCTTTCAGGATACCGGGATAAACCAATAAATCATTCCAATGTTTAGCAATCATTCCTTACACGAATCAGGGACTCATCTCCCACCTTTTGTCTATATTTGGGAACCTATTCAATTGCCTTGGCCAGGACCATTAGTGGTGAGATAATTCATTCAACTAGCCACTCAGCACCTAGCTAATCCAATCAAGATACTGTCAAATCTCAGCATAGCCTGACCCTGCCTCTCTGGAACTTCATTGGTTACATCCAGGCCTTGCCCATCCTGATGCCACACACCCCTGGGACTCATCATTTGCCCAGGTAATCTATTGTTCTCACCTGAGACCAGCCCCCAGGGCTGCCCATTGCTCTGCATTGTCTTCCAATGGGTATATCCCAGCGAACACATGGCATTAGAGTGTGTGCTTCTGCCCTGATGCTAACTGGCAGTCCACACCTGAAACCCTCTAGGGTTTGGGCCATTACCCTTTCTTCATGGACCTCTGCACATCTGGACAGGTAGTATCACCCCATAACCCCTCCATTAGATATCAATCACCTCTGCCTCCTTAAGTCTGTATTGTGTGCGTGAATGTTTGATTATTGTTTGGGAACTTGAGAATATTTAGTAAAGAAATCCTTATTTTAGCCACCCAGTCTCTTTGTCTATTCCTGGGTTCTTGGGAATTCTAACTCTGATATACACAGGTCTGATCCTACAGTGATGCCAATTGCATATTAATAATATATCAAGGCATTTTGGCTAACAATTGTGGGGCACTCCAAAGGGATCTGTTGAGGATGGGCGAGTGGGCGTCAATGTGGCAAGTGGGGTTCAATGTGGCCAGGTGCAAAGTGATGCACATTGGAGCCAAAAATCCTAACTGTAAATACATGTTAATAGGGTCTGAACTGGCAGAGACTGACCAAGAGAGAGATCTTGGAGTCATAGTAGATAACTCACTGAAAATGTCAAGACAGTGTGTGAAGGCCAGCACTATGCTGGGGATTATTAGGAAGAGAATTGAAAAGAAATCAGCCAGTATCATAATGCCCCTGTATTAATTGATGCTGCGACCTCATTTGTGAGGTCCTCATTTGTGTGGCCCTCATTTGTGGTGACAGTTCTGGTCACCACACCTCAAAAAGGATATTATAGCATTGGAAAAGGTGCAGAAAAGGGCCACTAGAATGATAAAAGGGTTGGAACAGTTTCCCTATGAAGAAAGGTTAAAGTGCTTGGGGCTCTTTATCTTGGAGAAACGATGACTGAGGGGTGACATGATAGAGGCTTACAACATTATGCATGG